CGTAGGAGGGTGTGGCGTCGTCAAAACGAGCGCTTCCAAGACGTTAACGTCATCAGACATGATCGATTTGGGGGTGGTTCTGTTATGGTGTGGGGAGGCATCACTGTTGCTGGAAGAACGGCTTTACATGTTGTTGCAGGGCGTGTTACAGGCCAGTACTACCGGGACAACATCTTGGCAGTCCATGTTGTGCCGTTCGCACGACGTCATGGCCGCTGTTTCATCTTCCAGGATGACAACGCAAGATGTCACAGGGCCAGGATCGTTACAGGTTACCTCCAACAACAGAACATCACCACATTACCTTGGTCAGCACTGAGTCCCGACCTCTCCCCCATCGAGCATGTCTGGGACATGCTTGGACAGAGGTTACGTCAACGTCAACAACGTCCTGCCAATGTCCAAGAACTTGCTGCTGCGTTGCAACAGGAATGGGACAATCTGGACCAAAATGACCTTAGACGTCTCATTAGGAGTATGCCACGTCGGATCAATGCTTGTTTGGCAAACAGAGGAGGATTTACCCGTTACTGACTTGGTTGTGATGCTGTGGTCACTTTGCTGTTTGACCCCGGGTATCATTTTACCCTTATAATGGCCAGTCTGTGCCTTACTTAGTCTAACGATCATTTGGAATAAATCGATGAATGTGAACTTCATTTCATTTTGTCATTTGTTTCTTCGTCAGTTTCATTAGGTGACTTTAATAACACTTAAAAATCAAATATCCCCTACTTTTTTTGAATAGTATATATCATTCTAAGCATATCTGTAATCTGAACCATATAATTCAGTCAGTCTATACATAGGCATGATACACTTTCTCTGATACCATTTCTCATTGGGGAGTTAAGAACTAGAAATGTGCATTGTCCACTTAGGTGTATACAAAAGTATTGCCACCGCACTGAAATACTTCAAGAACCCATGAATTATATCAGAGATCTGTGCTGCAGACATGTAATAATTATATTTTGTCCATTTGTAGCTTGCTGCTAATCGTGCAGATCATAGTATAATTCAGGGTTTTCCACCATTAAGATGGGCACAGACAGCTAACATGGGCTACGTTCCCAACCCCAAGATGCCACATTCTTACATGGATGTGGCAATGGATCTTCCTGATTTTAATTCACCTCTTGGATGGTTAGTCCAGTTTCTTTTACATTGAAATTTTATTTGCTATATGGTCATAGTTAAAACAATTTGCAAAGAATTGATGCGTCTGAAATCTTTTATGACCAGGAACGTGATTTTGTACTTTCAGAATTTAATTCCTTCTGATATCTTTCTGCATGACATCATTTTCGATGCCCAATCTAGCTATTCACAAAATAGCAGAAAAATTAGGTTTAGCAAGCCTAGCTTTGAGTTATCATAGACCATATTCTATATTGTTTACAGCTAAAACTAAAGGTGATCTGTTTATTGAGTATGATGCTGGATATATTGTTTTAGAGATTAGATCAAATTCAATAACATAACAAATATCTAATATTTATTTCAGCATCCATTCCCGATATAAACAAGATGTTGCAGAAAGATTGGGTCTAGCCTCTCTAGCTGTAGCTTATGGTGAAAAGGGTCTGAGTTATCAAGGACCATATCCTACATCATTTAATACAAAAACTAAAGGTCATCTGGTTATTGAGTATGATCATGGACATACTGTTTTAGACATAAGATCAACAGCTGGTTTTGAGGTATGTTTTCTTTTAGAAATAGATTAGTAATCATTCAAATGAAACGAAATTGGGGTTAACGTCGTATTGTTCTGCTCCGACGAGCATACGCCATACAGTGTGCTATGAGGGAAATTTTGCCCGGGCAGTGGGACTACGGGCCACTCTTATATCGAATTCAAACTGCCAAGATATTATTTACGTAAACCCCAATGTGTATATGGGACATCGTATTTTCGTCCCATCCGAGCAACTTTACGTTGTACTAAACCCTCAGTCCTGGGGGAGGGGGCGGGGGGCACACCGGAAAATTCCGATGAACTTTATCGGACAGCACCGGGATCGAACACGTGACCTCCAGTCTAGCGAACCAATGTCTTACTCACTGAGCCATAGCGGCTTCCGAGTGATTTGACTGCTCATCCCCACGTGAATACGTAATTTTAACACGCATATTAATTCCTCCAGAATTATTATTTCTAAATCAAACCACCCAGAGAATCAATGGCATTTGTATGAGTACATCGGACAATGACAAAAGAATGTGCCCACTTTTCACTGTTGATCCAAGCGTAAACCGGTTCTGACCTAACTCGATTCAAGGTGTTCATATAGAGCACGGTCTGTTACTGCTCAAAGGAATACATGTCAATGATGATTTTAATTCCTCCATAGAAGGAATTTTGATCCTCCATAATTGAACCGACAACTCGCCTGCTAATAACTATATTTCGCATAATTTTAAATACTGACTACATAGACTTTGAATTTTATTTTCTAGATATGTTGCTCTAATACCAGTCAAACTAACTGTGCGAAATGGAACACATGGGTTGCTGCACCCGTTTTAACACATCATGGTGCCACTGTTACCTTAAACGTCTCAGGCTGTCAAAATAAACACTGGGTGGGATTGAGATACTCGTGGAGAGAAAGTCCTTGTGAATTTAAGAAATGTTGTGTATATGGACGAGACAATGATCTGCCAGCTCCACCATTTATTAGAAATACACCATTTTAAGAACAATTTTATTTCTAAATTGGCTATTCATTGCAAAGTTGGTTAAACCAAGAAACCTCTTGAACACTATGTGTTTATTATATTTTATGTGTCCTCGGATTTGTTATTCCATTAAGGGATGTGCCGGAGATTCCATGGATGTACAACTTAAACTGAATATAATTTGTCCACAGGCACTACCGGCATAAAATGATGTTAGAGTTATCATCTAAATATTATACAAGAAACACTATTGAATAAATATTATACAACAAAAACTTTAAAAATTATGTTTGTATATTATTTTATGGATTCACCGATTTGTTCCTGCAATTGTGGTGTTAAGTCGACCCCGGGGACGATAACTAGTCATGAGAGATAGTTATATGGAGTTTAACGTCCACTCAACATAAACTAGGTCATTTCGGGGCTATCATAAGGTTCAATTTTATTCCAATAATTCAATTGTGCATAGGGGACTTTGGCAAAGGGGGGGGGGGCGGAGAAAATTCAGTAGATTGGAAGACAACCCCAATCCTTGTCACGCACAAGCAGGGAATCGAAACCACGCAACTTGGGTCAATGACGAACGTTATGATCAAAAGTACACGTGTTAGACCATTGGCTAATCACAAAAACGCACACTAAGCATAATGAGCTTCTGAAATAAGTGACTTGGTGGTTGTTCACAAAGCTGATAAGGCTTAATCTTTCTAGAACATTGTCTACTTGGTACAGCCATCTATTTTCACACAAGGTCGTGAGTTATAAGGACTCGGGTCTTATTTGATTTATAACAGTGCCAGACCGAAGGAAAGGGGGTTCAGTCGGTACATAAATATCTTTTTGACGTCGAGATGGCTTTTAGTCGTGTCACAGAGACTCCGATGCGAACCCCGTTTCGAAGAACCTGACAAGGAACAGTGTCTAGTAGTTCGGATGGAACGAAACAGCGAGGTCGCTGGCAACTGGAATTTGATAGGTATAAGTAGGTATAGCATCCGAGCAAAACTTCCCACATAGCACACTGTGTGGCATAAGCCAGTCTTCTCTAACCCAATCGGTGCAGAACAGTAGGTCGTTAAACCCCATTTCATTTCATTTGACCTTTGCTTTAAGGCTTTTGTCGACTGGACGTTAACCCCATTTTTTCTCTCTCTTATGGCTGTACTTATCTGTATTATACGGACTGGTTGTTTACATGCGGTTCTCTAATACGTCAACCTTGACCTGGCATTATCGGTAAATAACGGACCATTAGTCTTTAGAGTACAGCTGGAATGTCACCATTAATGTTTCTGCTCGTGTTAGCTTCCGTCATCTCAGGTAAAATGCTTTATTACTCGTCTTGAAATATTCTATAACCTCTTTTAGTTTGAGATTTGTGTTAATATACCTATGGATATATATTATTTAGAGCAGTGTTGGGGGGGGGGTATTTTCTACATACCTTACGCCAATTTGTTCACAGATGAATTCAGATGTGCCAACGCGTATTCAATAGCAGAACAAATGACCATCAATGCGCCTAGTTGTATTCCGTAAGCATACTTTAACTGAAAACAGATTAATGTAAAAGAATATAAGATTCTCTACAAATAATGCGCCAATCATCCCCGATTTTGTGTCTTTGAATTCGCCAGACAATTAAATAAGCACTTGATCCTAATTCCATTTTTAGAACATCGTTCTGAGGTTCCAAAAGGCATTTACCCTACCCCATGTCTGAAGTCCATCCATTCATTAACTTTCGAACTCTAACCCAACCCACCAAACGACGAGTAAACCCACTGGGTCTTCTGTGTTTTTTTATCATCGGTTAGGACGGTTGAATTCAACATATTCTGTTTTGGGTGCCATCTGATTCAAATACGTTAAAGGTGTCATCCTGCATTTCATTATAGGTAGTGATGGTGCTCTACGGTTCGCTGCATCATATGGGGACCACATGGTGCTCCAAGCCTCCCCTTACCGTGCTGTCATCTGGGGGCATGTTGATAACGACAATGTTACAGTAGCTGTTTTTGTAAAAGGACACGAGACAGCGCCAGTCTATTCTATATCATCTAATGGAATATGGAAAGTGCAGCTTCCTGTTTGGTCTAGTATCTCTTCTGAAGCACCTTATACAATCACAGCTGCTTCATCTGAAGGAAATGCTAGTATCCACGACGTGCTGTTTGGAGATGTATGGGTTTGTTCAGGACAAAGTAACATGGGTGCTCCCATGAGTTGGGTAAGCTGTCGCATTACCTACTTTGTAGGGGGTCTTTCGCCAACTGGAGGTTCAATAAACATCGCTTATATAATTACTCATAATGCTAGTTTTCACGGCTTGCTGTTTCGAGATGTATGTGAGTTGTGTAAGCTACCAAATTACCAATAGACATTGCTTATATATTTACTCTTAATGCTAGTATTCGCCACTTGCTGTTTGGAGATGTATGCGCTTGTTATGAGTGAGTTGTGTAAGCTACGGCATTACCTACTTTGTAGGGTCGTCTGCCAACTGGAAGAGCAAAGGAATTCGCTTATATAACGTCCCAGCCTTTTGTGTAATCCTTAAGAACAGTTTGCAGATGGTCGGGATTTAATTTTACTATTTTTAATTTAGATTAATAATACGGCATATGAAATAAATAAAGCTTTAGCGTTTGATAAAATCAGGATATTTCAAGTCCACACCTTTGAATCTTCCGTTCCACTGACGGACCTACATTCGATTCAAACCAAATGGACAGCTCCCACAAATGGTTAGTAATATCGATATTTCATAAAAATGTATAAAAATCATTCAATTAAAAATGTAGTTGAGGACAGTATGGTACTAGTAATAGAGAAAGTGCAGACTTTCTGAATCGAAGTTTTTTTAGCTAACACGTGATGAACACGGGGGCCTTGAAAATGGATCACCTCTAACATATGCTACTTTTGCTATAACATGATCCCGGACACTCTCCTTGGGCTCCATACAAATGAAATGAAATGGGGTTTAACGTCTTACTGTTTGCTCCGAACTGGGCTAATGAAGTCGGGCATACGCCATACAGTGTACTAGGATGGAAATTTTGCCCGGACAGCGGCACTACAGCCAACTCTAATATCGAATTCCAACCGTCAAGGGATCTTTTACGTGCACTCCAATGTGTACACGGGACCTCGGTTTTTCGTCTCATCCGAATGACAAGACAGCTGTCCTTGTCAGGCCCTCCGTCCTGCATCACTGACAAGGGAGAACCACGCCGGAAAATATGGGTGAACTTTCTCAGCCAATGCAGGGATCGAACACCCGACCTCCAGGCGGGCTCCATACATCTTGCGTAATGAAAGCAATGTTAAATATATTAATACAGTAATTTAGAACTATTACTTTACTAATCCACAGCGAGTAAACATAGAACGGACATATATTATGTGGAGAATTTAATGCATATAATCGTCATGTTAAAATAACAAAAATGTAACTTTTTACTTATAGAATCTCTTCCTGGATTTTCGGCACTATGTCTTTTGTATGCGGAGTATATCTATAGGCATAATAAACAACCTATAGGTCTCATTGAAACTCAATGGGGTGGATCTTCCGTAGAGGCGTGGTCTGGTCCCGATGCTTTGAAAGAGTGTGAAGAACACAAAGAAAAACGGTAAAAATTGTTGTTAATAGTCAATTTTACCGTATTGTATAGTACTTCCCCTTAAAGATATATTCCATTCAAGCCTAATTGGGTCATCTGTCCGACACCGTCAGTTTCTCAGTCTGCTACATAACATCGAACATTAATGCCATCTGCATATCAATTAATCTAGCTATTTTCATAATAATTGTGTTTCCGGAATCCTGACAGCAATGCCATAATGCATATATGTAATGACCCTAGTTCACGCTGATTAGTAAATGTGGGTTTATGTGGGATAAAACTCTATAAACACCGCCAATATACAGTACTGGGCGGTGAACCCCAACTAAAGCATCTTGCTTTCTTCAGAGGTCCACGAGCCGCTTCCGTATTATGGAACTCAATGGTTATACCTCTACTTCCACAAACTATTTACGGCGCCATCTGGTATCAAGGTGAGTATGGTTAAACTTTAAAGCTTGGTGATTTACAACTTAACATGTATTTCTGATGCAAATATAGCTACTTGAGTGATATTTGATCCTCGTCGTTGTTGGGGAGCTACAGTGTCTAAGTGGGTAAGACGCTGGCTCGCTAGCCTAAAGGTTGCGTGTTCGATCCTAGCATTGCCCGAGAAAAATCATCGGGATTTTCCAACATTAGGGCCTGACAAGGACAGTTGTCTATTCTTTTGGTCCCGTGTATACATTGGCGTGCACGTAAAAGATTCCTAAGCAGTTGGAATTCGATAGTGCCGCTGCCCGGGCACAATTTCCCTCATAGAATATTGTATAGCATTTGCCCGTCTTCATTAGCCCGGTTGGAGCAGAACAGTAGGACGTTAAACACCATTTCATTTCATTTTCCTCGCCGTTGTTGCTCTTATATTATACAGTATTTATTATTCATGGAAAATCTTTGGGAAATCGGAGTTTGTAAAACTCTTACTGATTTTTTATTCTTTTTTCTCTTTGTTGAATTATAGGCGAATCTAATACCCATAATTCTGATCAGTACGCATGCCTCTTCCCGTCAATGATTAAAGATTGGAGACTGAAATTTCATCAGGCGTCCATGGGTGCAACAAATCAGAATTTCCCTTTTGGATTTGTACAGGTATTGTAACTATTGAAATATCATGATACATTTACAGAGGAAGACTTGGCCGCTAACCGGACCGTCGGACGTACAGGTCAGGGGTCTATATCTTAATTTCCACAGTTTTTCTTCCCTAAAATATACTGATAAAATTTACCTACGAAAACCCAACCAAAATATCAACGGTTGACAATCTCTCAGCTCGTATTCAATGGGACCAAAAGCGACATATCTAAGGATTTTGCGTAAAAGATTTATAGGCGAGACTGTAGTGTTTATATTGTCTGTCGAGAATGTTGCAAGATTTTCAGTCTTTGTAAATGAAATGAATCATTGTTGAATCGATATTCAGCTTTCACAATCCCTCAAATGACGACCAACGACTTCAAAGGATGTGATTATTTAATTGATATGTGTCCACGAAACTAACTGAACGTCTAAAATCAAATATTTTGTAATTTCTGTCTTAGCTCGCTGGTAACCAAAATGACTCAAATAGAATAGCTGGATTTCCTGCAATAAGATGGTCGCAAACGGCCAAGTATGGTTACGCCCCAAATCCTAAGATGCCGTACACATTTATGGCTGTAGCAATGGATCTTCCTGATTTTAAGTCACCCCATGGAACGTAAGAACAGTTTATTTTATCATAATTTATAACCGCCTTCATTAGCCCAGTCGGAGCAGAACATTGGGAAGTTAAACCCAATTTCATTATTTATAAAATCCAATTATACGTTGGCATTGGTTCCTATATACAACCCATGGGATTTTAATGATATGATAACGTGTACATGGAGATTGGACACTGGTGTTTCAGTTTCAGCCTATATTCCAACTATATTCCAACTCGGATGTTTGTCCCACCCAAACGGGATTCTTAGCTGGGACTTTTTAGTTCCTTGAACCTCTTGCTTCCAAGATGACGAAATAATGTAGTAGTTTCCAATCCCAGTAGGAGAGAGAGAGAGAGGGGGGGGGGGGAGAAAGAATGTGTCTAACATCCACTCGACACAAACTAGGTCATTTCGGGCTATCATATAGTTCAATTTCAAGAATTCGCTTGCGCGCTAGCGGTCTTTTAGCAGTGAGAGGAAACCGGATGACCCCTTAGAAAACCCCCGAAGTTGGACAGGCAAACCTACTCCTTGTCACGTACAAGCGGATAATTGAAACCACACCACTTGACTCAATGACCGACCTTGTGATGCAACGCACACGCTTTAACCATACGGCCATTCAACCTCCTTTCCCAATAGGATACTTACAGTATACATAGACAATTGCAGAACACGTCAAGTAATTGGTATTTATTTCAGAGTCCATCCTCGATATAAACAAGATGTAGCAGAAAGATTGGGTCTGGCAGGTCTAGCTGTAGCTTATGGTGAAAAAGGTCTGAGTTATCAAGGACCATATCCTACATCATTTAATACTAAAACTAAAGATCAACTGGTTATTGAATATAATCATGGAAGTTCTGTTTTAGATGTAAGGTCTAATAACGGATTCGAGGTAATTATTGTAGCTATTGTAAGCAGCATGAGCTGTCAGTACAGTGCTCGCCCCCTTGATGTTTTTCTCGCACAGTCCAGAAGCTCTGGGTTTTGGGAATTCTATTGACAACTTCTTACATCTCACATAGAATACAATTTCATTTTGTGTATATTGTTTCTCATTTTTACCCTACATCGTAATCTACATTGGAATTCAATTGACCGTTAATCGCCCCGGCATATATTCTTTGTCGTTCAAGTTTATGCCTTTCGCCTTGTATTTACATTGTTACTGGTACTTGTGGGTCGGAAATGTTTCATAAAAAGTGGGTTTTTTTATGTTCTGCAAATATCCGGAACCCTGTTTCATGATAATTGAAGAAGTGTTACTGGTACTTGCGGGTCGGAAATGTTTCATAAAAAGTGGGTTTTTTATGTTCTGCAAATATCCGGAACCCTGTTTCATGATAATTGAAGAAGTGTTACTGATACTTGTGGGTCCGAAAGGTTTCATTAAGTGTCCTTTTTTATGTTCGGCAAATATCCGGAACCCTGTTTCGTGATAATTGAAGATGTGTTATTGGTACTTGTGGGTCCGAAAGGTTTCATTTAATGTTCTTTTTTATGTTCGGCAAATATTGAAAACCCTGTTTCATGATAATTGAAGAAGTGTTACATTACATTTCTTATTCCTAGATATGCTGTTCCCCATCTACTCATCCTACTACTTGTGCAGTTCATGATCATTGGGCACCAGCTCCCATGTCAGCTCACCATGGAACGACCGTCACCTTGAACACCACCGGATGCCATCCGAAATATATAACTGGATTGAGATATGCCTGGAGAGAAAGTCCATGTAAATTCAAGAAATGTGCTGTGTATGGGAAAGAGAATGATTTACCAGCTCCGCCATTTATTAAATATCTCCCATTCTAACTTATGTGTTCAGTTTATCTGTGTACAATGAACATACAGTGGCTGGTGTATAATATTTGGTTAGGGTGGGGTGTAGATCCATGGAGCTTCCTCCGAGAAATGTTTGAAGAATCGGAGTGTCAATGTACCAAAATATAACATTCAACTGCATCAGCTACATCACCCCAATCAACGAAAAGCTCAAATATACTCGTTTCATATAAACAGAATAATTAATGAATATTTTGTACTGTTATGTAGTGGGGGGGGGGGCATCTGACAGTTTGAACATGTCAATGAAACAGCGCTGGCCTTAGGATAATCTAGTCTCCGTGCAGAGTATACAGCACAGGTCCAATTGTTTTCCAATGCAATGATATAGCAGATTTAAGGATACTTGATTTCAAACATCCACTTCAAAACAAGATAAATGGGCACTGAAATGCCAACCGAAAATGACATCAATACAGTAAGGACGTCAATGGTAAATTTCTTTTAAATATTTTGACTCCAAGTAGTTGCGGGATCAGTGTAAAGCCTAGCGCATGGGTCGTTAGGTTTGATAGCTCGCAGACCAGTGGCAAGAAACCGAGTGAAAATTTTGTATGTGCACGGTCAAAAGTCTCTACGGCCAGTCTGCGGTGCTGAAAACACGCAAGTAATGCGTAAGTCTCACGCACGGGTTTATTCAAATATCCCCGTAGTAGCACGCACGGCGGGATGAGAGCTAGGCTTAACCGTGCAGTTTGCCGACCACTAAGTCTTGCTCTGAATGATTTATAATATACCGGTCAATTTGCATGCTAAAATCATGTAATCTCTGATATGAGACTTCACATGATTGTTTATCCCGATGCAATGTCTAAAATACGCATAAAAGTGGATTTTGTGCATGAAATTACTTTATTTTTGATTCACAGATTAGGAAATTTGAAAACTGTAATCGTTATGGTTTATAACCATTTGGGATCTGTTTACGATTCGGGTGACAATACTGACCTGTTCTATCTGCAGCAGTGCCGGATTTATATGAAGAGAAACCCTAGGCTATTCCACTTCTGAACATTTGGTGTTATTGAACAAATGTTGCATTAGTGGGGGAGGGGGTACGGATGGGGGAGAGTAATAAAGTATCGTTCATAATGTGTAAAATAGTAAAATCGTATTTTGTTGGGGGTTTCCCTGGTGGGATTATACTTTATTGTTATCTATGTATATTTAATTTACAATACATACTATTTATATCTGTAAATATATATTTTGGCTCTAGCAAACTCTTTGCTTCGCCTGTATTAAAAGTACAAGTTCAAGTTCAATAAAAAAAAACATTTTCATCTAAGCGGGCTCGGCAAAATAGTGACTGACACAATTTAGTTTTATAACTAAGATGTCCTCACATAATGATTTCCTGAATTTAAGACGACGTGATTTTATAAATTGATAAATTTAACGATCTTGTTTAGCATGGAGAATTCATTAAATAAAACAGTTTATGACGTGTGTTCTTTGTTCTTTGGGGTCGTGGGTTGTTTATTAAAAACTCTTCAAATGCTTGAAATAAATAAAAAGTCAATGAAGTTAGAGCGAACGAATTCTTTGTTCTTGAGGTCCCGGAGCAGTTTATTAAAATCTCTTCTTGTGCTTTTTTTTTGTTGGAAAAAAAATCACTCCAACGTTCAGAAACTCAAACCATACGTTTAAAATCCTTTGTTTTCGGTTGCTGTAGTCGTCTTTAGTTTTCAATAAAAATTGAAGAATACAAAATCATAGGGACATATAATTAAGTGTATTAAACAAAGGATTCTAGCCCCCATTGTTTCGCCTTAAATGTTTGAATGTTATAATCGATTTAATTCTGATGAGTGAAACGTGTAAATCGTCATCAAAAACGCCACTAATGGCGTTTGATTAAGAAGACCGGAAGCTCTGTCGAATTATCGGTCCCAGTTATCAATTTTGCTTTTTATTCGTTCGTTTTGTGTTACTCGGGAACCGGAAGTAAGCAGGTCGGTTTTGATCGTTGCTATGGCAACTGTGCAAATGCTTTTCTGTGTAATTATGTGCCTCTCTGCATATTGAATATTTGCACGTGCGTTTCCCGGCAGCTCGATGGTTCGTTTAAACACACTGTGTTACGTTAGCGATGCACGTGTGCCTTAAAGCCTGGAGATTTCCTGTCTCGTGAGCCATAGGGGATGAGCCTTTATTACAGATCAAATTTATGTGGTGGCTCCAACACCATGATTATCTAATAATTAACATTAAACATGATCACTTTAATAGCCGAGAAAAGAAATCAGCTGTCATGTAATCCGAAAATACCTTATAAAATATTCAACTACTTTTTATTATAAATCACGAAGCGTTATAATCTGCTATTACATATCATTTTATGTGAGGACGTTCATTAAAGTTGTCCCGCAAATCGCCAAGTAACAATCATAAGAGTTTAAAAATTGAAGATAGCTAAAAGAAAAAACATTTTTTTTTTAAGTTTTGTACCTTCTTACGGGCCCTGAGATTCATTCCCGTGATTTGATTTTGTTGTTTATATCTTGCAATGCCTGTGTAGTTTTTGTCGTGTCCGCAGGTTTGTCTTATCCGTTTTGAGGGGTTGGGTGGCCGAATGTTTAACACGTGCGCGTTGCATCATAAGGTCTGCCATTGAGTCAAGTGGCGTGGTTTCGATCCCCGCCTGAACATGACAAGGAGTAGGGTTGCCTGTGTAACCTTGTGGGTTTTCTACGGGTCCTCCGGTTTTTCCTCACACTGCTAAAGACTACGCTCAAGCGAATAATTGAAATATAATTGAACCATATGTTAGTCCCGAAATGATTAATTTTTTACGAGTTAACCCTTGCCTGTCCTTAATAATATAGTCCAGCATCTTTCGGACTGTATTTAATTTTTGATGAGTTTAATTAAAAAAAAGAAAAAGAAATCCATTCTTTATAGTTTTGTATATATTTCTTTAAGTAGCCTGATCCGATCTAGCGTCTTGCGGACTATATTTAATTTTTTTGATGGTGTAGTGTATGCTAAATGTACTCATACTGATTAGTTAACATGTAATTCAGATAAAACCATAATATCCACGTTAGATAATCCCATGGATTCAATCGGATTAATAAAGGTGTTCGTCACAAGATTTCCACAAAACTTAGAGCTGGCACTGGATTGTTTATATCACATATAGGGGATCTTTAAAGAAAATTCTTTAAAGAATCTCAATTTATGTCAAATGAACATTTTAATATGAATATTGTTTGCACAGTCTACGAAGAAAGTCGAGGGTAAGGGGTAACCTTGCACTACACCATACTTCGAAGTGATTGCACGCCGTAAATCCTTTGTCTTCGATGCTTAAAAAAATGCTTGGGGTTAATATAGCCATACAAGCTCCTTCATCGTACGCTTGTTTTACTTCTTTTTTAAACTTTATATTTTTATACAGTGCGTCTAATATGAAAGAGCGCTGGTCGGTCTATATTGGATTAGTGAAAAACGTGTTGAATTTAGCATGTGGCATATTGTTTGATATCAATGTCGGTCAAAAATTAAACATTCAAAAATTTAATTGCCAGAAGTCGAGCCCGTATTTTCTTCACGCAGATTTACAACCAAAGCAATTTTTTCTCAAGTGATACTACAATTTTCAATATGGAAAAAAGCCCTGAAGGACAATAGAGAAGTTGTACAGTAATATACGCAACGTGTTTCTTTTTTGACTGAACCCTCCACGTTGTAAAACTGAATGTGTGTCGTTGAACGTGGCCGAGTCAATATTCTTGCAATCCAGTCTATAAAATGAATGGTTTCGTTAGCAGGGACATCGTCATCTATACAAATAATCTTGTAGTTCTGCTCTTGTCTTTCGTATATTCACAATTAAAATTGCCCCCATGCTGATAAAAACACGTGGCAAATTTTTATACGCTATGTATCGACACGTGTACGCGCGTGTTGACACGTGATATGTGACGTTCAAAAATCTCCTTTACGTGACCGAGAAGTGGGCAGACTGTTAATTGCTAACGGGTAGAACCTAAATGCCAGCTGTTTTCGGTTCAATATGGCGGACAAGTGGTATTGGGGATAGGCAAGAGTTCTATGGAGGGTACGGGTCACGTGCTTACGGTAGGTATGGAAGTCAAATAAAAACCCGGTGGTTTTCACGTCATACAATGTATGGCCGTCCCAACAAAGAGAGTTGATTTCGTTTGATTTTAGGGTGGGGGAATTGGGCGTTTAACCAAAAGTTGGATGGCACAGATTAGAGCCACCAGCTGCATTTAAAGGGTTTTAGCAGCAGGAACAGAGAAAACGCTAAAATTGTCATCTACGCACCATAATTCTCGCACTACTGATGAAGATTTATAATTTTCTGTTAAAGCGACGTTATGCATGACGTTGGTGTCTCTGCCAATTCTAACATCAGTGTAATAATGAATTTCATCCATTTCCGTAAAACAAATAAATCAGACATGAGCCCAGTTGGGATTTGAATTGAAGAAACTAATAATTTAAATCGTAAAATGATATTTATGTGGGTTTAGACAAATGTCTTCTGTCATTGTATAAATGGGAAATTTAAAGAACATCGCGAAATATAAAGAAGTTTGCTTTCATAATTCAGGGGAAAACATTGCAGCTAATGCAAAATGAGCAGTTCCTTTGAAACGTGCTATTTCGACATAAGGTAACTAAAATTTAAATACAAAATAGATCTGTAAAATGAACACATGTTTCTTCCCAATACGGCTCAAACATATGATTAAAAATATAATTATTCTAAAATTTTACATATCGAGGGTTTTTTTACAACAAATTATACATGAATAGTTGTCTCTGATTATTCTGGATAAAGTAGCTCAGAGCGGAAAAGGATATCACTTTTCCGTTACTAAAAATATATATTGTACTTTTGTTGCATGGGCGAGGTTTCTCCTTGTTGTCAGTGGTGCAGGACAGAGGACCTGACAAGAAGCAGTGGCTAGTCGATCGGATGGTACGAAAAACCGAGGTATGCACTGTCTTGCACATAAAAAGAAGCATTGGCAGATGAATTTCGAGATCAGAGTAGGTTGAACACTGTATGGTACATGCCCATCGTCATTAGCCCAGTCGGTGCAGACAGTAGGCCGTTAAACCCTACTTCATTTGCTAGATGTATAAACAGAATTGTGAATACATCTGTCAGATTAATCTATGAAGTAGGACAAAGGGTTGCCCCCTTG